GGATTAGAGGAGTTCGTCCTGCTGGGCAAACATGGGTTCTGTGCTCAGGCTTAATGAGAAGCTGGCATGTTAATAGCATATTGATGGGTCCGTCCATCAGGAAATCCACACAACAGAGCGAGCACGCGCTGTGCATCTCAGGGCCAGGAGAGGTGCTGCTTTTGTGACTTTCGGTTCCACCAGCAAAGCTACTTTCAAGACGAAGAGGATGCCAAAGACATTCTAATTTACACCAAAAATGAGCAGTTGGGAGCACTGGTCTTAATATACCTGGGAAATCCCTCTCTTGACACCACCAGTGAGTGAGTGCATTTAGGCAGAGGATAATTCCTCTAAGCAGTATCTTCCAAGGTGCTTCTGCAGAACATGACACCACAGGGTGTTAATAGGTATCATGCAAGGAAAAAGCCCTGGGTCAAATGCTGGGTTAGTGATGAACCGAACAGACTTCCTTACTGCAGAACTTCCGCCCTCTGACTTTCCGGGAAGCAGATAAATTATGTGGTGCTTCCAAACTTTTTAGACTATGGAGTTCTTCCTTCTCAAAACACCGTACCCCCCAGTATAAAACTTTTTTGTGTTATGCACCCCCCTGGCTGCTTGGAGAAAACTGGGACCCCTTCTTTGAATAACATTTTTAAGCACAAAAATAAAACACATAGGATTACAAAGGAAAGCAACTCTATTGAAATCAAATATCAAAATATTAAACATATGTTGAAATATTTAAAAATGGGCATACATTAACATATGTGCTTCTTTTTTGAATGTGTTAAATAACAGACTGACTCAGGGGTGGGGCTAATGGCTACAGTTGTTTCAACGTGTCGGAGACCATAAATGGTATTTCAAGGTACGGTTGATCCTCATTTGGGGTGGAACCTTTTGAGTTCAGGCCCAGTGACAAACATTTTCAGGCCCCCCAGCAAAAGCAGATTGGCTAACCATCTGTATATGAGACGTGTGCTGATCCTCAACATCGTAGGACCTGAGTTCCCGTGTCACTGATTTAATCCCACTAGAGAAGCTATCCTTAGCTGGGATCCACAGGGACTCCCAGAATTAAGAGTGCCTGCCTATAAACTCGAAAGGGGAAAAAGGCGTCTTCGCTGTCTTCTAACTAAAATTTGGCATTTCCTTCCAACCTGAATGTAAGCAACACAACACAGCTGGATCAGTAGCTGTCTCTGTCACAAATATTTTCACATCACATTACGGTTGCTGCAGATACAGTTGATTTTTGTTATTCACGGTAGCTGTGTTCTAGAAAGTTGCTACCAACACTGAATTAGCAAATACTAAACCATCGCTCCTAGGTTAGGCTCCCGAGAGCCTCCAGTCACGTTTTCATCAACCACCTGGCCCGATGAGGATGGGACTGGTTCAATTATTCCCCAAAGTGTTGGGCGGGGTTTGGGTCACAAGAGAATTTAAACAGTTTTTTTTGGAGGGTGGGTGGGAAGTGGCAGGGACAGAGATGACATCTAGGGTGGGGGAAAAGAGGTGGTCAGGCCTGGAAACATCTCCCTTTACTCTCAGAATTTCCCTGTGTACCCCCCCCCCCCCCCCCCCC